GGAAATCGGAGAAAACTCCATCAGGAAGAAAGATATAAATGGGAATTCCATTAACTGGCTTCAAGCTAAAGAAATACTTCTCATGGAAGAAAATCCGTTTGAAATATATTTCAGCAAAAATCACGGCGGAAATTTGCAAGAAGTAGACATAAGTAAAAGAGTCAAAAGAAATGCAACCAGGACTACAGAATTTTCCTCCAAACTGCAAATTTTGTGGCCTAATGGGAAACCTGTCTATATTCCAAAGCTTAATGACATAATGTTGTTAATGGAGCTTATTCCATTGGATGCCAAACAATTCTACGAAAATATCGTAGCGAATGAAGGCATTCAAGATGATATTGACGACTTTAATGGATCATTAGACTTTGATATTGAAGACCTATCATAGTATTTTCTGTAAACTATATAACTTTTTTTATGTATTAAAGCTAAGAATTTAATAAAACGTTATTATAACACCTATTTTTTATTTTGAAACATCAGATTAAGCGCCAAATATGTCTTAAAAAATGATTAATGAATTAAGCGACATTTGATCAAATAACTTTTAAAATATAAATTATTTTTAAAAAATTTAAAAAACATGTTAGAGTTTTTTATATTTGCAATACTCTATCAAAATATGATACTTGTCAGTATTATAATTTAGAAATAGCACGAAAAACAAATTTACAATCTTTAAACCCATTTTTCTCAAAACTGTATTTTGGCACTCAATCCGTTATTGCATAACGCGGTTCAATTATGCTTATGACTGATATATCCCTATAATTCTCTTGTTTTTGTGTTCTTGTTTCAGTTAATAGATGTTTGTACTGTTTCTCTGTAACTGCTATTCTTCTAATATGTTTTGAAATATTTTTTTTAGTATGTGTTGATGAGTGTTGTTAACTAATAGAAATGCTTATATTCTGACGCCAATTTTTCCGCCTATTTCCCGACATTTTAGTTTTTACATCTTATGTTCTAGTGATTTATTTTATTTTGTTCTTCCTGTTTAGCTCTATTGTAAGCTTTTTTGTCTTCAATTGATTTTGTATTTATTCACTTTAGGCAGTACTCTTCCATTCTGTTTGTTAGTTCTTTGACTTCATCTCCAATGGCGCTGCAGCCTAAATTGAGCCTTGGCCTCCTCCAAACTATACTTCCAACCTTGCCGGTCCCGCGTCGATCTTCTCCAGGTTCTCACGTCTATCAAATTTTGCGTCTAGCGAATTCTGAGATCGGTGCCTCTTTAAACAGTTGGTAGAGTTCATGGTTGTACCTGGATCTCCATACTCCGTTTTCGTTAATAGGTCCAAATACCTTCCTTAAGGCTTTTAGTTTTAAGGCTTTTAGCTTTCGTTCTGTGTCTTCTGTCATCGCCCATGTCTCGCATCCATAACTACTATATGGTCTAATACTATTATGTTTTGTACATCCTGAGTTTCTATCTAAAGTGTGTGTTTTTGGAGCAAAACAGATGGGCGAATAAAAATTTAGCTTTGTTTCCCTTTACTAATCTTCTTTGAGTTGCTTGTTCTGCTGTTCTATCCTTATTTTATGTAACTACCAGCTATGTGAAACTTTCTACAGTTTCAATATTGTCCTCTAATTCAACTGTGCGTCTGTTATCCTAGCTTTCGCCTGTGTTATTACATATTCTTTTCTATTCAAGAGTCAGGATGAATAGTATCGGTGCCAGCTCGTCTCCTTGTCGTCTCCTTTTGTAAACCTTTATCGGAAACCTTTTTTGGATGGTCCTAGAAAGGTCACCAATGGAGACACTGCGGACGGCAGCCAGATGGTTGATGAGGAGCGAGTCATGGGTTCGAAACTAGCTTTTGGAATAAGGAATGGGCCCAACGGACGAAATAAGTAAAGATAGGACAGGATAAGGTATATGAGAAAGGATACCAAAATAAAGAAAAAAATAGATGGGTAAAATTATCAAAGATAATATAATATAATAAAAGGGCGCCTTTTAACTTTTTGGGGTCAAGGGCGAAAATTAAGAAACCCTAGAAACGAAAAGATATATAGTCACACAGATTTCAATTAAAGATGTCTCATTTACAAATTTAACTGAGAGCTAACGGCAACAATGCTAAATATCGGGAGTAAAACCTTACCGGGGTCGTTTTTATTGTGTATGCTTCGACAATGTAAATAAGTAAAATATACGAAATAATATCATAACATTTGCCCACGTAACAATATAAATTGTGCATACCGGTTCGTTTTTCGAATGTATAGGTGGACCAGTTCAGTTAAATATTTTAAAACATCGGTAAACTTATCAACATTTCGTTTGGCTATATATTTACGTCCTTGGAAAAAATAGTAATAAGATGATATATTTGAGTCGTTTCACATTCTTATATGTCCAGAGGCGGAGTGTGTTCTGTTTCTTGTGCATGTGACTTTCTTTTATATAATTTTTAAATAGACTTTATTAATATTTATTAATTTTAAAATAGTTTTTGTGGTAAGTAAACAACAAATACATAGCAGAATATTATGATTGATGTTTATTCTTTTTAGAGCATTAAGATGGATGACGTAGCGGGTCCAAGCAATGTACAAAGAAAACGGAAGTTTATGTCGGTAGAAGAAAAGCAGATTGTCTGTAGAGTGTATGAAAATTTAAACAATACACTTTGTACAGTGGAAGCTTTAGCTCAGTGTTCATTTTTAACGGGAGTATCCGTGTCGACAATAGAACGCATTGTACGTGAAAAAAGGTGACTGGGATTGTGCAAGCTCCAAAAGTACATTATCGTGGTAGAAAATAATTAAATTGGAAGAGTACCAGAAAAATTTTGTACGCTCCACTATTCATTCTTTCTTTTTTGAGAATAAAGCGCCAACCCTCGAATCCATTAGGACAAAGATAATGGAGAATGGTCTGATTCCAAAAATGAGCAAAAAAACGTTAAAGACAATAATAAAAGAAGAACTTTGAAAATAAGGCTAATATCGAGCACAGGTTAATTAAATCTAGCCCAAGTACTTTCGCTTAAAATAGTATCTTCAGGGGAATTTCGTCAAAATGTAAACTATCCGGCAAGCGTAGAATGTGGAAACATTAAAAATAACATAAAATTGTACAAAACACTACACTAAAACGAGGACATACAGTTTAAAATTACTTAAAGATTCTACGCTACATTCTCTGTCCGTATCTGGAGGGATAATCCCTCCAGATACTGACATTATCAATTGATTATCCCTCCAGATACTGACAGAGAATGTAGCGTAGAATCTTTAAGTAATTTTAAACTGAGAATTAAATGTTCGTAATTTAGAAGTTCTTAATAGCTAATTGAAAGTTCGTATCAAAATATTAAATGTTCCTTGATTGAATGCTTACTCAGTATAAAACCTTAACTATAGGAGAAGAAATAGTCGACGTAGACTCGCCCAGATAGTTGAAGATAATATAAATATGATAACTTACGATAAATTTTGATGACTGCAGCACTGCTTTACTGAAGCTATTATAATACTTTACTTGTATTAAACACTGAAGTTAATTAAATTAAAGCTAGTTTATACCAATCTTTAGTCTAATATGGTATTAGATTAAAAAACTCAAACATTTAAGTGTATACACACATAAAGAAAATAATCACAGAGACGGTAAGATAACACATAGACGATAATATAAGCAACCGTCTTTACTAGAAGACCGCCCTACCAGAAGTGATGTTCTTTCTCCCCAAATTTACCAAGCTTCCCAAAAATAAGGTGAGATATCTCCCACTCAAAAACGACAGGCTAGCCTGGACGACAGGAAGTAACGAGAAAATATATTCAATCTGTTGGATTAGGCTCTTACAGAAAAATACTATAAAATACCTTCAACGACTTTGCCTGCCAAAACATCAAACAGAACTCGCCCGTCACCCGAAAGGATTAGCTAAGCCTTACAATAAAGTATTATATTTAGTCGTCTTTAATAAGTCGAACCTTCCGTGTTTTGAGACAGTCGGTAGATACCAATGAAATTTCATAATGGTAAACACGACCATCCGCGTATATATTATTTACAAATACGGTCATCGGCGTCTCAGCAACAGGGGTAAAGGGATTAAAAATAATTTAATATTTTAATTATCAAAAACATGTTACACTTTCACTGTTGAATAGTTCTCAGTGTGCTCATTTTGTACTCTGACAGTTGCTGCTGACATGTTCATTGTTGCTTTTACTAATCGGATGTATTTTGGGGAATATTAAATCTGTACAATATTTTATACTATTGTCTATTAATTGAGTCGTAGGCCCGTTTAAAAACTATGAATAAAACTATGAATATATTGTGGACATCAATGTCGTATCCCCACGATTTGTTTCAGTGTAAATAGCTGGTCAGTAGTTGTAGATATTCCTTGTCGAAAACTTCCTTTAGAGGCTTTGCGACTATAGGATCCACTGAGAAGATTAGTTTGCTCTTTGTGGTAGAACTTTTATTGAGTTAGAGTTTTCTCATATTTGTATTGAGATTATCGTTTTGTGTCTCTAAAAATCAAAGATTCTTGTCGGTTAAGTTATTCCAATTAACAGGAGGATACGCCACCTGGCTCTCAAAGTTAGAAATGTTATTGTCCTCTTTAAGTCTCGGTGAGATACCGTTCAGTCGCTTCAGCGTCTGGATTATGATTTTTAGTCACTTCATAATGATTTCATCGGTACAAGGAAGCAATCAGACAGCTTTCCCTTCAGATCTAGCTCTATTATTTGGTCTAGAATTTGTTCTTTTATGCTTAATAATTGTTTCACTAAAAGAGGATAATTTTAGGTAGTATTTGTACATGTGAGATTGCGTGTTTCTCTGTTTTGTTTTCAAGTTTTAAAGGCCTATAGTGCTCTAACTATATCTAACTTTTAGAGAGATTAATTTTATACTTTTTTACTTAATTATATATCTAAATAGTCTCATTTCTATCTGTATTAATTGCTTTTCTTTCTTTTTGGCCACTTTAGGACGTACTGCAGGGATATTGAAAAGAGGGTAAAAATAAAAATATGTTTTATTTAAGGAAGTTTCGCTTAATTTACATATGCTAATATAAAGCTTTTATCACTAAGTTGTATCCCGTTTTTGGCTTTAATAAAAACGACTTTTTGTCATACTCAAGTTCATCGGGAGTGTCTTCAGCTCTCTCTACTCGGTATTTTGATAGAAATTGCATAAATGCCACTTTAAACGCCATTAGGCCAAAACGGTCACCTAAAATAGTTTATTTATTTAGAGCTGTTTTTAAAGCAAATTATTTAATACCAAAGATAAAATGTGATCCATTGTCACTACTTAGGGATTATTAAACAAATATTTTAACCTGGTAAAGATTTTCCATAGTCAATCCGATGGGGAAATGAGCCATGCTAACGAATCTCATTCACTTCATTGTGTAGTCGTCGATAGGTCAGAACCTAGACATAAAACAAGAAGGCTAGCGTAGTAGTTTAAAATTTCGTACTGCAAGAGATAGGGGCTTGGGCCTCGGTGATACTGCACAGACTCCTAATGGACGAGCGCGTACGCTTAAAAGCTGGCATATAAAAATATACTTTCTATAACTGCATGACAACTGGCAAATATCGAACATAATCGATTTCTGACTCAATTGTCTCAATTGTCAATTCTATAAATGATATTTATAGAATTCGGTGTAGGATAAGATTGTACATTATCATTGATATTGTTTTAATCATGATGAATTGATTTGTGAAAATGTATGGATATAATGAAATAAACTCAATCGATTTTACAGTTCTGAAAAATTTATAGGCTGCAGACAATATATAGGGTGGAAATCACTTACTTAATAAAATTATTTATGTCCTTGTTTCAAGAAATAAAAAAAATGTTGGGATCCGTCGACTTTGATACATAAATATGCATTTTTAAACATAAATTAAAATGTACAAGGTTATTTCAACCAAAGAGAGGAAAGGGCTTGGATACCGTTGGCTAAAATTATTTTTATTTAAGGCGTTTCACTTAATCGCGTTCAGTCAATGAATTATTTCGAATTCTTAGCAAAATGTTTAAAATATTATGAACTTTATAACAAGCCCAAGCACATTTTCAACATGCATCAGACAAAGCTAAATAAATAAATATAAATAAAAATAAATATTATCTCAATAGAAAGAGGGTAAACTATTATATTCATAGCTTGTAGTAATGCGGAAGGAAATTGTCTGCTACCAGCATGCGTAACCTACAAAATTAAGAAAGATGACAATATGCTCCCTGGATCTGCGCTCTACATATCGATAAAATTAGCATATCTACGTGACAATATTATTTTTCTGGAGTGGCTAAAAGATAATTTTTTTCCAAAAAAAACCTGATGACAAAATTCTTTTAATATTGGACGGTCACGCTTCTCATTCAAGTACGGTTGAAATGCTTGAATTGGTTAATCAACGTAAAATTACTTTTTTTTTGCCTTCCGAGCCACACAACTCACTTTTACCAGCCTCTTGACAGGGCTGGACGCCTGGACTGCGTATCACTGGCTACGAGTTTGGTAAAAATCTGCTACTCCTAAAAATCATATCGACGGATTTAAACCTACAGGGATTTATTCTTTCAGTTCCAATGCGATTTCTGACCACGCTTTCTTTGTAACTGACAAAAATGTCCTCTGAAAGGCGAAACCAATGAATCACATGAAAAATAATCCGATAAATGACTTATTACCTTTTGTACTGAGGCCGTCCATATTATTACACTGTATAACCATGTGAATTATAAATAAACTGCAAATATTTTTTTTAAATTTACCAACCTAAGCAACGTCTGGGTCCTGCTCCGAATGGCATATATACTAGTTTTCCATCCTTGCTCCAGTCAAAATTTCGGAAACGTTCTGGATCATACTTTTGCGGTTCCGGAAAATACCGCTCATTATTATGCAGAGGCCATAGTGCTATATAAATGCGGGTTCCTTTTTCAAGAACCAAGTCTGTATTTCTTATTCTGTATTCAGTGGCTGCTTTTCGACAAAAATGAGGGACTGTCGGATATTTTCGCATAGCCTCTGTAAAATAAACGTATTCATGAAAATCAATAGTATCGAATATACAAATTATGTTTATCTACTTAATTAATACATTTTTTTAATCAAAGTTTTGTAAAAAAAATATACAGTGTGTAAAAGCCAAATGGAATAAATTCATTATTTAGGTTACTGTACATATTTATAAAAAATCCCGAAACACATCAAATTTAAATTATAACTTGACATTCTTTAACGTGAAAATGCAACCCCTACCTTCAGCCCCCTTAGAATGACAGGTACAACGCCCAATTTGTAAAATAGGAAGTATAGGCTTGTGATATATCGTTTGAAAGGTCTTTTTATTCTCCATTCAAAAATGTTGTCCCTTTCAAGTTTATTAAGATTAATTAAGATAAAATAAATTAAAATCATGTGGTTACCGAAATTCGCTACAATACAATCAAAAAGTAAAATGTAATGCAAAACGTAATAAAATGTAAAACACGAAAAAGAACTATGAATGTTAATAAAGTAGATGTTCAAAATGTTCACCGCGAACGTCTTGGCAACATCCTAATCTCAAATAAAACTGTCGTCTAACATTATTTAACATAACAGGCGTGATCGACCTAATCGCAAGCGTTATTCGTTCTTTTAAGTCATTTAAATCAGGTTTAGTTTTGTACACATAGCTCTCCACATATCCCCATAAAAAGAAATCTAATAATGTAAGAGCAGGTGATCGCGCTGGCCATTCAATCGATCCTCGTCTCCCTATCCACCGATTGGGAAATATTGTATCGAGGTACTGCCGGACATTAAGTTGGTAATGTGGTGGTGCTCCATCCTGCTGAAACCATATCGTATTCGCTGGAACTTGAGGGTTTCCTGGATCAGGATATAAATTTGCCGACGTTGGAATGACATAATTTTGAAGTAGTGCCAAATAATTGTTGCCATTCAAGTTGACCTCAATGAAAAAGGGACCAATGATATTGTTTCCTACAATCCCTGCCCAAACATTAACCTTTTGAGGATATTGAGTGTGTTCTTCTCTCATCCAGTGAGGATTTTCCGTGGCATGGTAGCGGCAATTTTGCCGGTTAGCATGACCGTTAAGTGAAAAAGTACACTCATCACAAAACATAACGTCTTCTAATTGGATAATATTGTTATCCAACATATCCATCATTTGCTCACAAAAAAAGTTCTCCTGTTAAAATCGTCTTCCATGAGCTCTTGAGTAGGTATCATCTTATAGGGATGCAATTTATTTTCTTTTAATATGTTTACTATCGATGTATGGATGGCATTAAATGTAGTGGATGCCTGTCTACTCGATGTATGTGGATTTTCCTGAAACTCAAGCAACACATCTAATTTGAGTTCATCACTCAGTGCATTGGCAGCTGCTTTTTTTATCTGCCTTACATGACCAAACTTGCGAAACTGCTTCTCTATTTTACTTATTGTTCCTTGAGATATAGGCGGTAAATTAGGAAATTTCTCATGAAATAGGCGAGTTACTTCCTGTTGTGTTCAGGTGTTATCTCCGTAACCAATCATTTGTAAAACTGTTATTTTATGCATTTCCGTTAATCTAACCATTTTTCAGAATTGAATTGAACGAACTTTTTACTTAAATTAAAAAACTGACAACTTAAATAAAACAATTTACTAATGCGTGTTAAAATAACGTTGCCACGGAAATTCTTTAAAGTTTTTTAATGGTTACCATCTAAAAACTACATTGCTATGGTTTTTGTTCACTTTCTCATTATCAAGACCTAAACAGGAAATAATTTTTGAGTATATATAAGCGAATTTCGGTAACCACGTGATTTTAATTTATTTTATCCTAATTAATCTGAATAAACTTAAAAGCGACAACATTTTTGAATGGAGAATGAAAAGACCTTTCAAACGATATGCAACAAGCCTATACATCCTATTTTAAAAATTGGGGGTTGTACATGTCATTTTAAGGGGGTTGAAAGTAGGGGCTGCATTTTTACGTTAAAGAATGTCAAGTTATAATTTAAATTTGACGTGTTTCGGTATTTTTTATAAATATGTACAGTAACCTAAATAATGAATTTATTCCATTTGGCTTTTACACACTGTATAAGAGAATGAACTGTGAAAATCGTGAAACATACTTAGAAAGAGAGGTTGGATCATACCCTGTAGATAAAGTATTTATCATGATTGTCACCGTTCAATCCCATCAAATTATGTCCTACGCCTTCTCTTCTTATCCTATTATGGATAAACTAGTCCTTCTTCTGAGGGTGCCTGTTCGTTCCGAACGTTGGCGATCATTCTGGCTATGATGACTTTGTCGGTTGCTATACGAAATAGCTGTGTTGATGTCTTTATATACCATGCTCTCAGGTTAGCAAGTCAGGATATTCTTCTTCGTCATGGGGCCATTTTTCCGTCAATTTTACCTCGCAAAATGCATTAAAGTAGCTCGTATCTGCCTTTATTTCGCATTATATGTCCCAAGTACTGCAGTTTACGGCCCTTCACGATGTTGACCAAATCCGCAGTTGTGTTTATCCTCCGCAGTACTTCTTCATTGGTGATATTGTCTGTCCATGGTATCTTCAGGATGCTTCTGTATAACCATAATTCAAGCGCCTGTATAGCCACAGCTCAAAAGCCTGAAGTTTTGATAGAGTTTCCGCCTTCAATGTCCACGTTTTTTCTCGGTACAAAAGCACTGAGTACACATAACATTAAAGAAACCTTATTTTTGTTTCTAGGATGAGGTCATGGCTCTTGAATGCAGAGCTCATAGTCAAGAATGCACTTTTTGCCTTTCCGATGCGCCATTTAATCTCTTGGGTATTGTCCTGCGACTCATCGATTATAGTTCCCAAGTAGTTGTATTGTGAGACAAATTCAATTCTAATTTGGTTCACATACAGATTTGCTCCAGTTATGTTTTCCTTGCTGATGATCATTAGCTTGTTTCTGCTGGTGTTTATATCCAGTCTTGTAGCATTTTAAATTTGATTGATTCTTTGAAGTATATTTAAAGTCGCCTCGTATATGAAATCGTCTTAATAAAACGAAGAATGTTTTCTGTTTTTTAGTTCGTATCTTTCGAAAAGTGTTTTCAATCATTCTAACGTCGTAGAGTAATAAATCCATTTAATTGTTGTTTATTTTACTGCGGCGATTTCTTTTCATGTAAATGCGTCGCAAAGGAAACTACGTCGCATTCTTATAAGTGTTTGTTAAGATTTGCGTCCAATTTTTGCGGAGAAAATCTCTGCTTTACTCTCGTTTGGACCGCGTTCCAAGGCGGTTCAGCGTTATGTCCAAATTTTTCGTCGAATTTGTAAAGTGTTCTGTTTTCTTTTCTTTTCATGAAGAATTTGTAATGTCCTTTTGTTCTTCGTTATGGAAAATAATTTAAGTAGCAGTTAAATGTGGCAATTTAAGGTATAATTATAGTCCAATTCTACCTGTCCCTGTTTTTTTAAGAGGCAGAGCCATAAGTTTTGTTCAGTGCCGGCTTTGGCCTCAAATGGTCGATCCAATTCACAGTGGAGATGATTTTGTTCGTGTGTTCGTGTCCAGAGAACCCCAGTTATGGTTTCAGAAACTTAATGTGTGATCAAGTTAAATCCAGGTAACTTTTTAGGTGTTTGTTTAATTTTAAAGTGAAGACAAAAATTTTTTTAAAATAATAATTGCTTTCGTTTTTTTTTAATAGTAAATTTTTGGTTTTGAGTTGAGCGGTCAATTTGTGTTTAGTTTTTTTTGAAATTTAATGTTAATTTATGACAGCCCGTTTTAGTATTTTTGATGTTGATTTGTATTGTTTTTTTTTAAAAGGTTAACATCCATGCAATTTTGTAAGTTTTGTAGCAATGGAGTTTGTTAATGGATGACACATGTAAGTTTTTGAATTTTGTATTTCTCCATGTAACTGTTTGTGGTGACACATAAATAAAAGTTAAATTTTATTTTCTTAATTTTTTATTAATTTTTTTTTGAGCTAACCCTTTTTGAGTTTATTTGAAAAAGATATGTTTTTTATGTTTTGGTTTTGTTTTCTAATTATTTCCCTAGTTACAACTAGTGGTTGTAATAGGCATAATTAGGCACCTCAAGTGGCGCCCTATATTAAATTCCTTGAGATGTTTCTTGTTTATTTTTATTTTGTTTATCCCAAGAGCCCTTTATTTCATTTTCTTGTAGTTGCCCCATTCCAATGCCCTTATCTTTTACCTATCCACGACCCCAGCTCTCCTACGAAACCCTGAGTGCCGTTCGCATCAGTAGCGATTATTTTGCTTGCCCTATCTCCACCCCTTAGTTTCTTCCCCCAATTTTCTACCCCCTTGTATTAATGCCCCCTGTGGTAGGCAAAATATTTTCGTTACAGTCTATATTTTCTACTCGTGTCCGTTATTTTATATTTATTTAATTAACGGATATACCATTTTTACATAAATATGACGTCAACCTTTACAAAGCTTAGGTATACATAGGTTGCGTTAATAAAAAACAAACCAAAATTAAAATCAAACAAAATTCAATTAAAATGGTAACTTAAGGTATTAAATAATGCTCAAAATCGCTCAAATGATTTCTTAAATGCTGCTGTAGATATTCCAAATAACTCTAAATTATTGCTGTGCTCATTAGCAGTTCGTAAAATTCTTGTAATGGGTTCATTTTGTTCATTAAGTTTTGCAGCCCTTCTATGATATTGGAAAATACTATTGTATCATTTGCATACCGCAGGTTATTGAGCTTGACTCCATTTATTGAGATACCTTCATCAATATCTTTTAGAGCCTCTTCAAAAATGTGCTCCGAGTACAGATTAAATATCAGCGGTGAAATTATGCACCCCTGTCTTACTCCTTTTAAGATATTCTCCATCTACTCGGAGCACCGCTAATTGATTTCAATACAGGTTAGCTATTATTTTTAAGTCTTTTTCGTCAATACCTGTCCTCTTCAGAACTTCCATCATATGTTCATGCCTGACCCTATCGAAAGCCTTCTTGTAGTCAATGAGGCATGCGAAAACATTACAGCTGACATGGGCGCAAGGTGTTCCTCGCATTTTCGGTAAATTCTTTTGTGGATGACTTTTAAAAACAGCTTCAGCAGATGACTCATTAGGATTATTGTCCTATAATCTTCACAAATGGGCAGTATAAGAAGAAGAAGATTTCATAACCCGTCTCCGTTCTTTTCCATTTCTGCATTTCTTTTTCCATTGTTTTATTTTCACGATTCATATTTAATTTTTCATGTCATCCCACCATCTTGTTCTTGGTCTCCCTTGGCATCTTTGGATTGAGGTAAATCTCATAACTTTTTTGATCATGTTGGTTTTCCCATGATGTGTCCTATTCACATACATGATCTTTAAAGCTAAATTCACAAATTAGAATAAAGATTGTGCAGGTTTGTACGCGAACTGAAAAAGCAACTGATGATGAAATAAAAATGACTCTTATACGAAGACCTTAAAAAGTTATAGACTACAACACAGAACCTAACATAAAAATAATGGGAAATTTAGAAACTGAAAATGAGAAACCAAAAAAGATCTCTAAGTGGCCAAGAATCACTCAAATAACAGAAAAGGTTACGACCAGTGAATTTTCGAATTAAATAGGCATAATTTCAATTTACGGTCCTGAAAAAAGTAAAACTGTCAATAGCCAATACTATTATACATTATTGGTTAAATTGAAGCAGGAACTTTGTAAGAAATAGCTCCATATACAGAAGAAAAATATTTGTTTCCCCAAGAAAATTTAATTCCATAACATTTATGTTGGTTTTTGAATTGGTGTCCCATCCGACTTATTCTCCTGATTTGGCCCCCTCTGATTAGAACGTATTTCAAAATCTGAAGAAATGGCTTGTAAATAAAAAAAATCAGCTGGAACAAAGAGATAAATGACGAAACAAACGCCTATTTAGCAGATTTTCCTAGGAAAATCGCTGGAATCGTTTTATTGGGCTAAAATAAGAATACAGTTTCCTCTCTCTATAACGATATGCAAGGGACCGGGAATTTTCATCGTTACAAGGAGAGATCGTTATACAGAGAGAGACAAAATTCGGTACTGTAATATTAATAATACTGTACTAAATAACCTATTTTAATTTAAAAAATTTATCAAAACAAATATAAATGAATTATCACTGTATTGTACAACACATAGATTCATTAAAGAATAATATATAAGCAATACAGTATAAAACAACAGGTGTATTGTACAATAACAAAATAATATGCTAGTGTAAAATATATTTAGCCCACATTACCAAAAAAGTCACTTTGGTCTGTTTTTCCCTTTCCACAGAACTGACCTGAGCTTCTCCTGAAGATGCGTAGAATCTTCTACAGCACTCATATCGTCTTCCTGGTGAATGAAGAATCGATGCAGTACTTTTGCCGCATCCAATGCCTGCTGAAGGTTCGGAGCTAGTTCTGGCTTTGCTTGCACTTCCGGGTCACTGTTTTCTTCTTCTTCTACACGAACTGCTTGTAGGATGTCCTCGACAGAAAGTCCAGATGTTGTAGCTACATTTTCATCAAATTCTTCAAAATCTGTTAGCTCTTCCGGTCCGTAGGTGATAGTAAGTTCAAACTGTCTGGCCCAAACATCTAATGGCATGTCATCTTCATCATCAGTCAATCCTTGATCTTCCAGCCATCCTGCGTGTTTGAAGGAATGTCTTATTGTATTGTTCGTTACCTCATCTCAGGATTTACTAATCATTAGGATGGCATTAAGAATGTTTAGTTTAAGTTTAATGTTTAGTTATTAACCAATTCCATCAAAAGTCTTCTCCTGTTATGACTTTTCAAACTCTTGATGACACTTTGGTCCATGGGCTGAAGGAAACTCATGTTAGCTGACAGAAAAGAAAGTTTAATGTTTTAAAAGTCGCAGAGTAAAAGATTAGCAGGACAATAAAATTGTCTATAAGCAGAAGAATTTTTTTCCCTTTAAGCTCGATATTCCACTTTCTTATCGCTTTTTCAAAAATTTTCGAAGTCATCCACGCACTCTTGTTTGGTTTATAGGTTACCGGTAGATTTTTTATATTTTTAAAGCAACGTGGGTTTCTCAATTTCCCTATTACTAAAAAGTTTTGCTTCACCGAACTTGTCATGTTAGTGGCTACTAAAACTGTAATACGTTCCTTAGAGAGCTTTTTATCAATACACTTTCCAATTTAAATTTTAAAGTTCTGTTTGGTATCATTTTAAAAAACAATTCAGTCTCATCAACATTAAAAATGTCGTCTGACGCATATCCTGCCTTCAGTCCAGGCTACACGTTTTGTAGCCAATCAAACGTTACGTTTTTGTTACTTAACTTAAACCTCTGATAAGAAGGAAAAGACTGGGTGGCCGCATTCCTTAAGCGCAAAACAAAACAACCGTTGGACAATGACTTTGCCACTCGTGACTCAGGTAGTCTAATCTTTAAACACAGTAACACATTTGTCATCGACTATTGAACGCTGAAAAGTCATCGCTATAAAAAGAGAGTGATATCGGTATAGAGAAATAGTTAATATATTGTCCTTATGACAAACCAACCAAAGTTTACTATTTTCATCGTTCTAGAGGAATTATCGTTATATAGGGAATCGTTACAAATACTGTATAAATAAATAAAATAAAAGAATTTTATAAGATCTCCCAATAAAGAGTTAAAAAAAATATTTTACCATAAAAACACATTTCCAAATATTCAGTTTTTATCATCGCCTCGTACGTAATACCACCATACTCCTCAATACATTTTAGCACTTCTTGCCTAGCTTTGTCTTGTATATCTTGGTTAAGAGCAAATTCATAAAAGACATTTGATGCAGTTGTAGTACTAGTTTCTCCTCCAGCTATCAAAAACGACATCGCGTTAGCGATTAATTGTTCAATTTCTAAAAAATAAACAAAATTAGAACTTTTGTTAAAAATATCGTTAAAGCTGCTCCTCATAGTTATTTATCATGATATAAGGATACCAGATATGATATTGCCACGCACTAAACTCGTACACTCACGCGCATGACGTCACCTTGTGCTAAATTTTCAAAATGTATTCCTGCTTGCGGATGAAACGAACTGTTGAAATTCTAATATAATTTACTAGATGTTTTATTTACTACGTGAATTTAAGCTTAAGTATTTCAATTAGTATATTGTAAAAAATAACAATTTTCCCATAAGAGTGAAGTTTGATGGAGGGAGTCATGGCCGAATGCCACAAATTGCAAACTATGGAATGTGATTTTCATACAATATATATTTTATATATAGTAGTTAGGTATTATTGACTGACACGTTAGGTAAACTATTTCTTTTCAGGTTGCAGTCATTAATAGGGCAGAATAAGTAAAACTCTTTGTTCTTTTAGTTAGCTTTCACAACAATTTATTAGCTTCTTCAGGATATGCTAAAATATGGTTATAATTATATATATATATATATATATATATATATATATATATATTTCTTTTGAGGTTGCAGTTATTAATAGGGCAGGATAAGTAAAACTCTTTGTTCTTTTATTTAGCTTTCACAAAATTTATTCGATTCTTCAGGATATGCTAAAATATCGAAATATCGGTATAATTATTTAATCTCCCAATTATATATATATATATATATATATATATATATATATATATATTAATATAGTATTCAACTAGTGAATTGAAGACATAAGTGGATAAAGGTCATATGTCACAAAATGATATTTTTGAGTAATGACCATTTTAGTGTCTTTTGTTCCAAGTTAATTATTTATTTTATAAATTTGCATTGCTGCACTTTTTTAAACAGGTATCTGAAGGTACTTTTTTTAGACTTTAAATTGAATTTAAAAAAAGTTACCTTAAGCCAAATATTTCAGATTTTGTGGACATATTGCCTTAATCCACATACTAAAAATAATTAAAAAATGTTAGGGTTCAGTGGATAAAAGAGTTAAGTATAAAAAATGGTCATTTATTTTCAAAAAACACTTACAATACAAAATGAAAAATTAACAAAAATAAATTTTTTAGTAGGTTTTTCTTTTCTTTTTAGGATTTTCTTTATTTTCCTCTATCGCGTTTTCATAAAACCATCTGTACTCTTCGGGAACAAATTTTATTTGGTCTCTTAAATTTTCCAGTTTTTCCAAACTCAAACCACCAGTTTTATTTTCCAGTCTTCTTGGTCTATATTCACTTCTGGTCAGATGTGCTGTCCTTTTTTTTCTTAAATCTACTTGCTGAAATGGCATGTAGTCATTAAGACATGTCTTATAGAGATAGAATCCAAATTCGTCCACTCTTATCCATTTTACATTATCACGAAAATTAATCTTTTCATTTGAACTGTTTGTTGTCTTTTTACATAAATAGAGCTTCGTTAGCAGATCTTCAAAGTCGTAGAAAAAATTCTCCATATTTACACAAATGCTACCTTTTGTGCTTGCCGACGTGATAATGTTACGATATTGATCTGGAATAAAAATTTACTGATGTTTTCTCAGAACTTTTTCTATCCTTCCAAAGTCCCTGTCAGAATCTAAATAACTGTGGCCCACTTCAGGAAATTTGTGCTCTATTATTTTAAAATATCCATTTAAAATGAGATATTGATATAGACCTACAATTATAAAGTTTTTGTTCTGACCAGAACATGAATCTGACCATATGATCAAATGATTAATATGGGGATTTTCTTCTTTTAAAAGCTTACAAAATCGAAACAGACAACTCGCTATTTCAGTACTACCTCGATTAGCTACATCTTCGGTCCACGTAAAAAAGTAAGATTTTGATCCTGATGAAGTTATGCAATGTATACCAAAATTATACAGCCACATTTGACGTAAATAGAATGCTCTTGATGTTGAAACCTTAGGTAACGGCATGGTTTGTTGTAGATCCATTGTGATGTAGCACATATTATTGTCACTTATTGGCTTTTGCCTATCTACTTTTTGAGATTCAAATGCAATGCTACAGTTTTCTTTATGCTCTATAGTATTTTCTCCAGAATCACATGTGCTACATGTGTCACTTTTTGGATATCCAAATGATAGATTGAATTTAGTATCGAACACATGGCGATACATGGAAAGTTTAACTAAGTATTTTTCACCAATTTGTTGTTCATCGCATCTTTTTAGGTATAGTTCATGCATTTTTGTTACATTTAATAATGGTGACAAATACTTTCTATTCTGATTTTTGTTTCGAGAATAGTGAGAGCTCTCAGCTGGAAACATTTGAACATGTTCAGTAATGTATTCTACTACCGCTTCACCGATCTTGTGAGGTCTATTTGTATGTTGCCCTTGTTTACTTGGACTTGGAGCTGATTGACCTTGTTTAAGTTGTTTTTGAAGATTTAATATTTTCTTTGAGCCAACTTGGTACAGCGAACAAATTGCATCCTTACAGACAGATATTTTTTCTCTGTCGTAAGTTACTGAGTATTTAAAAGAACATTCTCTTAACTTCTGCTTTTTACCTCCAGAACGAATTCGGTGTCTTGAAACTTGATTTATGTCAATGCTTTTAAACAAAAGACAGGTTTTTGCGTTATTTTCTAAATTATAAAACCTTTTCAATATAGATTTTCTAGCTTCTAAGCTGAATTTGGTTCCACACTTTAATCTGCATGTTGCTTTACATAACACTAAATCTTCCTCAATTTCTTTTGCTGGTATAATTTTTCCATTTTGAGAAACATATTCCAACCCTTTTTCTTTTTGTATTGCTGCCTTTTTTTTCTTCCATTCAACAGGGTTGCGTTCTCTTTTACGAGCTTTCTTCTCTTTAAGCTCAAAAATTTTTTTCGCCGTCCTGTGAGGTTTGGAAACATCAGCTCCTTGTCCTTCTGCGGTAACATGTACCGCACTTTGACTGTCTTCAATATTGGGTTTTATTTGAAATTTCTTTGTCTTATTTTCAGCATTCACTTCTGCTTGGTTGTCTATATTCTTCATGTTTTGTTCCTTTTTTTCATTTAACAAATTTTTGTTAGGAAGTTTTTCAGAAAAGATGTTTCGTTTAGCATCATGTATTTTTTTGGAAAACATTTTGTTTGTGGTTTCTTCATAGTAGTCTGATTCATCCGAATAGCCCGTACCTGAAGGAACGAATTCATCACTGGACGACACATATCCGTCTGCTTCGCTTCCTGACTCATTGCTTTCTAAAAATATAAAACTATATGTAGTAAAATTAAAATAAATTTACTACTAAGAAATTATAAACCTTTCCAGCCAGGCTTACGTATGGTATCCATGTGTTTTTTCATTTTATACCAAATATCTCAAAAGCACAAAACCAAATTTTTTCATATTAAAAACGTTGGAGAACAATTTTATTAAAATTTAGACAATGCATAGTGTCTATCTGTCTATGAGATATTGAAACACTCCAAATAACCGATATTACAAAATAATTATTAATACAGATTAGAAAATACTAGATAACTTTAATATTATCTTAAATTATTATTATATTAACTTGTCAACGAGGCTGGAAATGTCAAATAAATATTCCCTTACCGACAAAATTTCCGGAAGTCGATGGTATCTGCATGTCTGCACAATACTGTTTATTGGATAAATCGTTGAGTTTACGGGTATTTAAATCTGACGAACTAGGAGGAAATACACCTAAAACCAACAATATTGTAAGTATGTGATAAAAACTACAGTAAAAAGCATTAATTGGTACTTTGCATAAAACAACAAGTATTAAAAAATATATGTATATGAACCTTTATATAATAATGTAATATTACCTTTTTTAACAGTATTCTTTTCTTTCTGTTGAAGATATAGTCTGTAAATTCTTTTTCCTCTACTCTCCATAATTTTTTCGTAACTTTTTGACTTAAAAACTGTAAAAATGTTTGCACAAAGTAAATTACACAATTACATTGATTTTCATAACATAACCTATAAAGTCAAATGTCAGAAAACCAACTGCTGAGCGACTAAAAATTTGAGTGGATAAAGGTAATATGTCCGCGATTTTAGACATAATACCTTTATCCACTAGAATTCGAAAATTTAGTGGGACATATTGCTTTAATACCTTCCTATTTTTTTTAATTAGCTAAAAATAAGTAATTTTAAAATTTTAAAAGGTTAAACAGCATATTAGCAGCACAAAAAACCAATAAAACAATTTTTTCAAAAAAGTGACATATGACCTTTATCCACTCATGTCTTCAATTCACAGGTTAATCGGTCGTTCAGGTTGGCAAAATAAAAAACAGAAGTCAACTACTTCATAAGTTTATAGAAGACATTTCGCTTTATACTTCTAAAGCTTCATCAGTTCTAACTCAATATGTAGTATTAAAAATGTTATTATATATGTACTTAAATTTACTTGTTATTTAGAACTAACTTAAAAAAAAAACAGAAACAAAGGACACAAAAACTTTGCAAAAAATAATATCATTCGTAGAAACGAAGATTTAACAAAATTTTAAACGTACATTTGGCTTCATTTAGAGATGGTTCTCCAATAAAGACAAACAAAACACTGGTGAGTGTTTTTTACGTGCAAAGTTTTTGTGTCCTTTGTTTCTGTTTTTTTTTAAGTTAGTTCTAAATAATGAGTAAACTTAAGTACCTATATAATAACATCTTTAATGCTACATATTGAGTTAGAACTGATGAAGCTTTAGAAGTATAAAGCGAAACGTCTTCTATAAACTTATAAAGTAGTTGACTTCTGTTTTATATTTTGCCAACCTGAATGACCGATTCATCACTTCAATCACTTTCAACAAAGTGCTTAGAGCAAACACGAGCAAATTTAACATTAAAATTATCCTGGCGTTTACACAAATGTTTCCAAACAGCTTGCATTTCCTTGTCTTTTGGAAAGCTATAAAATGCTGTACCGGGTACAAAACTCTTGCACATATTGTCAACGGCACAACCATATACTGCACACCTCATATCGGGAAAAATTTAAAGCCTTGTAACATTTTAAAAATATTATTTTATTAAATATTGGCTATGAACCGTAAATGTACATAAATGTCAAAACACAATATGGCGAAATTTAGCACAAGTTGACGTCACAAAAGTCATGCATAAGCCACGCCTACATGCGCGGTATCTTATCTGTTTGTATTTGTATCATGGTTATTCATGTACCAAGGACATTAGTATATCTTTATGCCTGAAGTCGTCCGAAGGTGTACACATCCATTAATGCCCATGGTGCATATAAACTTTTATGTCATAGTAGTTTGTTCTAAATATTTTTAAAAATTCAGAAAATTTATCATAATAGAGTAAGCAATATCGCTATATAGCGATTTCAGCAAATTTTTTCGCAGATATCTGAAGCTTTTAAGAGATAGGTGGGGGTTACTAGATGACGAATATATGAAAAAATACTCATATTTTTACCTTACGTTTTTTTACACAATAATTTATGTTCACAATTTGATTTTTTGTCTATAAATTTTTCTCCTTATATTTTACATAAACAATATTTATATCATTTTTTTATAGACATTGGGAAATTAAACAAAATTTGTTTTATTTTATATCAAAAATATCTTTATTTTTCCGTTTTTTTATATTAAAATTCATAAATATTACGGAGATATCTGCAAAAAAAAACAGTTTTTTTGCATTAATTTATAAATTTTATTAATTTTTCTATTAACACAATTAAATCTTATCAATACATTTGAACATCGAGGAATTACGGTCTTTTAAATTTGTGCGAAATTTCCTCGATTGGTCAAATAATTTAAAAGTTATTTAACTTATTTATCCCTAAGGTTAAATATTTAATCTATTGAACTTGCTCTATTACTGATATTAGACACATTTAGCAAATTTCATAGGATTATTTAAGACTTAAACTATCTCAGAAGTTAAATGCATATTGCGTTTTTATCGAAATTATTTACAAAAAAAAATCGTTTGAAAAAGGGGTATGTTTTTTACTTATATACAATTGAAGGGTCCAATGCCATAAACCGGTCAAAAAAAGCAAAATGTCCAGGAGAAGTAAAAAACATTTTGAGCGAAAACTATGAAATCCTGATAAATTTTGTATTTTCTAACATTTGAAGATCATCTTGTTAACACTAATATTTTTTTAAATAATAAGTTGTAAATTAAAAAACAAAAATGTTATGGGTGAAAAATAATTGGACTTGGCTGGTTTATGCAAAGTATTCATCTTTTTTTACGGGAAAAAATAAAACAAAATAGAATTTCATATTCAAAAAATTATTTTCTACCAATTTATTAAATGAAATAAACAAGAACATAGTTTCAACTAAATGTTAGTGCAGAGTCAATATATTTTTCTTTACTCACTGTCACTGAATTCTGATACCGAAGTTTCCTTATTGTCTGGTGAGACGTTCTGATGGTAATTTCGGATTGCTTCATAAAACCATTGATCACACTGTGGCATATAATTTGTTGCCAAAACACATAACATGCTCGAATTTGTTCTTTTTCAGCTTTCTCATTTCAGTGTACAACTTATTGTCATGGTTTGGTAAGGTCAGGGGCTGCAAGTTCCTCTTATCTCTTATTTCAAAAGTATTGAATACAGTAAAGTTGACGGTTTCGCTACATTTAAACGTCATTTCACTATCTAATTTTTCATATCGTATGACACGATATTTTGAGATGGTAAATTGGTTGTTCTTCCGTGAAGGATTTTTCACAAAAAATTGTTAAAAATGGGTCTTAAAGTTCAGAAACATATCTTGAGTCACATTAAAAACTTGAAACTTTCTGTTACTATTTTCAATAATTTTTGAGTATTCTTGGGGTAAATATATCTTGTCATGTTTCCGTTTTTGTCTTTCTATTGCTCCAAAGCTTCTGTCACAGGGAAGGAAACTATGTCCTGGTTTAGGGTATCTGTGCACTATCAGTCTAACCTTATCAGTAGTTGCCAAAATAGTATAAAAAAACTGTACCAGTACACAATTTTTTTTTGGGACGAACAGTTATCAGAAAATATGTAAATAGTGGTTACGTCTTGATTAATATGATTATTTAAACAATGATGTAGTATACTAGCTACATCGTTTTGTCCTTTTGCAGCTATTGTCTCATCATAAACATAAAAATAACTTTTTCCAGTACTTCCCACATGAATACAAAAATTGTATACCCAAAGTTGAATTTTGTAGAAAATTTTACTACTCGAGGACACTGGAAGTAGCAAATTTTGCTGAAAATCGAATGTTAAAACTTCTACTTGTAAATCATTCTTAGCTAAATCTGTTTATTCTTTCATGTCTTGATAAACAGTTTCAGAATTTGTAATATTCTCTGCTCATTAAAAATATTTTGTTTCACCGCGATAAAGGTCTCGCCCGGATTGTCTCCTCTGAAGCTAAACCCTTCTCAGTGTAACGTCTTACTTTATTTTCTTTATTTATTTTAAGAATTGTATTGAGCAGTATATACTATTTCGAGCCTCCCTAGTTACTTGACTTTGCTGTAGACTTGGCAACACCGCTTCCCAATCAATCAAGGTTCAACCAAGTTCAACCCAATATTGGTAACGTTTTTATTGTTTATGTGTTACTCTTACCTGGTATTTTTGCCAATTTCGAACACACTGTTAATGTTTTGAATTTGTTTTTCACTATGCGCTAAGATTACTTACTTAACTTTCCACTTTACACTTTAAATATAATTGATTTACTCTGCACTTCGCGAAATACGGGTTTAATACAGGAGCAAATACAATTTAATATTTACACGTTTAGCGCTACGTTGCCACCTGGCTCAATTATTATTTATCCAAAACAATTAAACAAGAAATTACGTCTCCTTCTAAAAATATTCCTAGACTTTTCCGCCTCGTGTATAATCAAATTATCAAACTTTATGCTGTTAATGTATAATATAATACCTATAAGAGCTTATCTCACCGAGATTGCTTAATTAAATAAATGAAATAAAGAAAAATGTACAAAATAAAAATATAAATATTGCTACAGAAATAAATACCTTCTTGCGACAACTCCTTTTTGCCTTCATTTTTTGAAAAATATATTATAATATCGATTAAATCTTGAGCCTTTCCATCATGTGGTTTTCTTTCTTTAATTACCGTATAGAGTGCATCAAAAAGATAATCGGTAATTTTCGTGTCAAGGAAATTTAATCGGAGAAGATTTGCCAATTCGCCAAAAAAGAAATGTGCCGATTGGGATACCATGTTGCGATACGTATTTGAAAACATACCTAAAATAAAACATTATTTTTTAAAAGTTGTCTACACAACAAATTTATTAACGGATCTATTCGGATCCTCTAACGGATATTATTCTATTCTATTCTATTCTATTCTATTCTATTCTATTCTATTCTATTCTATTCTATTCTATTCTATTCTATTCTATTCTATTCTATTCTATTCTATTCTATTCTATTCTATTCTATTCTATTCTATTCTATTCTATTCTATTCTATTCTATTCTATTCTATTCTATTCTATTCTATTCTATTCTATTCTATTCTATTCTATTCTATTCTATTCTATTCTATTCTATTCTATTCTATTCTATTCTATTCTATTCTATTCTATTCTATTCTATTCTATTCTATTCTATTCTATTCTATTCTATTCTATTCTATTCTATTCTATTCTATTCTATTTCTATTCTATTCTATTCTATTCTATTCTATTCTATTCTATTCTATTCTATTCTATTCTATTCTATTCTATTCTATTCTATTCTATTCTATTCTATTCTATTCTATTCTATTCTATTCTATTCTATTCTATTCTATTCTATTCTATTCTATTCTATTCTATTCTATTCTATTCTATTCTATTCTATTCTATTCTATTCTATTCTATTCTATTCTATTCTATTCTATTCTATTCTATTCTATTCTATTCTATTCTATTCTATTCTATTCTATTCTATTCTATTCTATTCTATTCTATTCTATTCTATTCTATTCTATTCTATTCTATTCTATTCTATTCTATTCTATTCTATTCTATTCTATTCTATTCTATTCTATTCTATTCTATTCTATTCTATTCTATTCTATTCTATTCTATTCTATTCTATTCTATTCTATTCTATTCTATTCTATTCTATTCTATTCTATTCTATTCTATTCTATTCTATTCTATTCTATTCTATTCTATTCTATTCTATTCTATTCTATTCTATTCTATTCTATTCTATTCTATTCTATTCTATTCTATTCTATTCTATTCTATTCTATTCTATTCTATTCTATTCTATTCTATTCTATTCTATTCTATTCTATTCAGGGAAAGATAAACACAAATAGACTCTCAAGAGATGAAAAGGTGGTACAGAGCCCAGACGTATAGGCGCAAATTCTTTTTCAACTTACCCTTGTACATCTTCATAAATCCTGCATCCTTGAGTTGAAAAGATTTGGCTTTGATACCAAAAATGCATCTGGCTATAACTTCTATAAAATATTTGCCAGACATATCACTAACATCAATTACTTCAGGAGAATCAGCAATATATTGGGAAAGTTCCTCGCCTATGCCACTTATAAAAGGAAACATGCCTTTTAGTTTTGAAGGCGAAAAACAAGGACTGAACTTACTTCTGTTTTCTTTCCATTTTGGCATAGATTGAAAAAACAAAAAGTTTTGAGTGATTATGTTATGTTTTGGTATTTCTATTGTTTTATCCAGAAATAGATGGGAATCTTTTATTAATATATCGCCGATCAATTCAGGAGAACGAAGTAATAAAACTGGTTTATCGAATACATATATTCCGACATATGGAGCATCAGTATAGTCGTATAATTCTTTGAAACCTTGCGGTATTGTTGATTTCATCTTAGCTATATTATAAAAGTTTCCATAAAATGGAATAGGTTTGGGTCCATCTACTTTTAGCCTTTCCCAATAACCAAAATTTCTTGTCATATATTTGTACAAAGCTAAGAAGAGTATTCCTATAAATATTATAAAGTACAGTATCCAAGATAACGTCAGCAACATCTGAAAAAATAGGACCAATAAAATGTTAGTAAAATGTAGAGGAAAAAATATTTTAAATATTCAATACTATTTTCCTTTAATACTGGCCACGCCTAATCAGGATAATTTTAAATAGTTGTTACCTACTGAGTCATTTGATTAAAAAACTTTCATTAGAAAGTAATTTGATTTTCAAGAAAGATCTTACTATAATTATAATATTACTAAAAGAATTACAAAACCTGGAACGATTTAGATAAATGAAAACTATCTAAAATCCATTTGATTTTATATTAGGTATATCCAAAAAGAAAAGGCGTACATACTCCTGAAATCAAAATAATTGTATCCTTACTGGAACTTGGTTTGTATTGGAAACAATATGGCTAAGAGAACGAAAAAATTTTTGCAAATGTATTTGTATAACAAACATTAAACAAATTATTGATCTATTATTTTTATGATTCTTATATTCTTCTACTGTGGATGCTGGTGAGTACTTGACAAAAATAAACTTGGATGGTTCTGCGCATCAAGACATGGAAAGCAGTCTTAACACATTCGCTACCACCTGCCGTCAAAAGGAGTTTTGCGTACGTGAGTCAAGTGCCACTGTCGCCAAAATGCGTTCTGTCTTACTTCAGTTAGGTTCTGGCGTTCACAAATTGTGTAAATAAATAGGATCTTTTGCCAGTCTGCTCTACCCATAATTACTTCCTGTTTTGTAGGAAAAAAAGTAAAATATGATCATAAATCGTAAATTAACAGAGGCGTAGCTTTTGGAGTGTATAGAGAAGGACTAGAAAATAGCGAAGACGATTTTGAATGATCGGAAAATGACATTAATTATATTAATAAAGAGGATAACAGTTCAGAAGAGAGCGATAATGATGGTATCGCTTTATTTTAGGATGTTATAAAGGTAATGGTTTTGTGTCTTTTATTGTTTATTTCTAGTGTAGACTTTTTGTAGGATTCAGGTGACGGCACTTTACGGCATAACTCTTAGACTACTTTAGACTGTTACTGACTGACGAATTTTTACAACAAGTTTGTAACCAATCCAACGAATATGCAATATCTATTTTTTTGCGGAAAAATACATGAATCTAGAATAAATAAATGCAATAAATAAATAGCATTTAACGCACAAAAAATAACAAACGTTTACTTCACTAATATTAGATGCGAGCCAAAATGAAATGTCAACACTAGAAGATCATTAGAAAAAGAAAGATCCGCTGTTTAAAATGAAAGCTTTTTCTACTCACATGAGTCGAAATAAACTCTTGTTGATTCTTGAATGCTTGAATTTAATCAGAAATCCAGCAGACAATGAACCAACTTATAGGAATTCACAACCCTTTAAAGTTAGACCTATAATTATTTTTTTAACAAAAAAAAATTTGTAACATTTACTATCCTGGACGAAAATTAAGTTAAGACGAATTAACGGTGTTACACTGTGGCCTAAATTGTAGGCAACTTATAAAAACAAAAAAAAAACGCAATATAGTATTAAGCTCTATGTCATTACAGAAGTAAATAGGAGTTATTTTAAAGTTTATGGTTTATACTGGACTAATCTAAAATTTGGAGGACAAGGACCATTGAGTTGATTCATCAAGAAATGTCCTATTCTACCGCAATTAAAACATCTTCTGTTTTCATTTCGAGGTTTTTGTTGCAGATTTTGCAGTATGTTTAAAATTTGGGATAAAATAGGTTGTTGGTTATCTGCGGTTGTGACTTCTTCATTTTCTTGAAATCTTATTTCTCTTAATTTTGGGAGAGATCTGGAAATGCTTTTTGCCGCTTCATACTCGTGGGATGAGACTAGCAATTTGTGATGTTGTAATCGGAGAGCTTGTTGCATTTCAACATCATGTAGTCCATCTATGAATGCCTGTATCCTAATTTGTTCCAGAAAATCTTTAGGTGCCTGAGAGTATGCCAAGTGCAATAGTTTTTTAATGTCGGCCTCAAATTCTTGCAGACTTTCGTTATGTTTTTGATATCGAATTTTTAACTGTCTTTAGAAAACATGCTTCAGATGCTGCTGGCCATATCTTGTCTTTAAAGCTTCAACGAGAGAGGTATAACTGGGTGCATCTTGGGAAAGGAATTGCAAAACGGTTGCTGCCTGTCCCCGCACCACCAAAGAAGCTGCTATTTCTTTTTCATTCCACCCATTTGCTCTAGCTGCCGCTTTAAATTGAAAACGATAAGTTTCCCATGCTGTCTGACCATCAAATGTGGGTGGTTTTAAGATTGTACTAGTTCTAATTGTACCTGGTTCAATTATGGAAAATGCTGAAGCTGTTTGTTTAGATTCAACGTTAGTTACTGAAACATTAGATAAAGAAGCTTGGGTATTCATTTTTTTTCTAACTCAACTATTTGTATTTGTAAATTAGATTTCAAATCATTTTGTTCTTGTTCTATTTTATTTTTAAAATTGATTTGTTTTTCTTCTAATTGATCTATTCTACTAGTGATTTGACTTACCTCCTACTGAAAATTTTTGTGAATTTGAAATAAACCATTTATGATTTCTACCTCTATTTTTTTACGCCTCTCCTTTGCTCTTCCTCTTCTTGCTTACGTTTTTTATTTTCCACTTTCTCTTCATGCCAACGCTTCTCCTTTTCATCTTTCTCTTCTTGCCTACGCTTCTCATTTTCATATTTTTCTTCTAGCCAACGCTTCTCATTTTCCACATTCTCTTCTTGTCTACGCTTCTCGTCATCTTCTTTCATTTTTAAAAACCATGTAGAGGGTCCGGACGTATCCATTTCTTTGTCAAATTCAGTGGATCTTGTATTTACTATTAACAACTGCTAAATATTTCTTCATCCCACCGCTGTCGCCAATGTTACTCTTCTCGAAAATTAACTTTATTCAACACCAACAATATTACAATACTTTTAACTGACAACTATAAACTTCAACATTCAAAATACAACTTTTTCCCAACTGTCAAAAACATCTGTTATATATATATATATATATATATATATATATATATATATATATATATATATTTTCTGACGTTCCAAACTTCACTAGACATTTTAAGAATTTTCGATGTCATCTTGAATGTTCTCGAACTACTTCTTCTTTTTCGTCAATGGACTTTTCCTATGTGGGATAAACCTTTCGTAACAATATTAAGAAACTGTTCTGCTTTCTTAAGTGGTGTCCGAAGTAAAATCTTCTTCTTCTTGTTTTTCTTTTCCTATATAAGCAATTTTGATTGTTCATTGGCGGATTATTACTTCTATGGAACGTTGTCACTTCATATTTTGCGAGGTCGTCCGATACTTCTTCTGCCGATTGGTAACTTATCTCTTGCTATTTTGACGACACGGGTCCTCTCCATTCTGCTTATGTAGTTATTGGATTCTTGTCTTTTATTTTGTGTCCAGTTTTTTATACACTGTACGTTACATTTTCTTCTAATGTCTTCACTTCTCTTTTGATCTCTCAGCGTGTTTCCTGTAATTCTTCTCAGTACACTCATCTCTGCCATTTCCAGTAGCCTTTGCATTGTGGCTCTGTCGGATCATGAAAACCAAACTCAGGCAAGCCATTATGAGTATATATAGACATACAAGGAACATAATTAGAACCGATAGTATGGAATCCGAAGAGTTAATAGCAAATGAGGGTCTACATCAAGGAGGAGTCCTAAGCCCCATATTGTGTAACATTGTCTTGGAGGACATAATTAAAGAAACTAGAGCAGCAACATTGAAATTATATGCTCGACATAGAAATCTAGAAGCAGTAGATCTCAAAGTGTGCATACGTAGACGATCTAGTGATATTTGGAATAAATGAAGAAGCACTCAATCGAAATTTACAAGTATGGAACGCTGCACTAATTAAACAAAATTTGAGAATCAATAATGAGAAGACAAAAGTAATGGTATGTGGAAAAAATTAAAAACAAACGAAGATAACACTTAACGGAAGTACACTTGAACAAGTCGATACTTACAAATACTTGGGAGTACAAATAGAGAATGTAGTTCGTTGTTGTGTCTCGGTTGTGTCACTTTTAGCTGTCTTTACCTTTAATATTTAAAATTAAATAGCGATCTTACATTGTTTATAATTAAAAATAACTTATTTTTTTGCATATTTTGTTTATTGCATAGTGTTATTATCAAATTTATCAAAAGCAGTTGTTATATACCTATATCAATGAATGTCACTGGAAAATCCTCAGTTCTCTTTTCTATATATTTAACTTGGTTAAGAAAACTGAATTCTGGTTCTGAAACTGTTTTCTTGGAAAGAAAACAGTTTCAGAACCTTATTAAATTAAAAGATCTGTCATAATATCACTTAACTTATACTTTTGGATGGATAGATAAACAAAGGGTCTTAAATAGTAAACATGAAATTAAAAAAAATATTACTTACATTTAACAACATACACACATATAAACGCACAAGTATAAGGAAACACGAATAATATAAGCTAATATAAAATATTCTATTTTATAAAATAATGTTCAAGGGCAACTCCTTCCTACAAATAATCTGATTATCATAATTGTACGAAAATATTAACTATTTGTATATTCTAATGGATATTACATTATTTTATTATTTATAGGTGAAATAAAAAACTAATTCTCTCAAGTAATAATTGTTTAAATTCAATAAATATTTAACATATCTACATTTTAAAAGATTTTACTTTTTAATCACATTTTGCTTCTTATTTGCGACTTTGATATTTCTCTTCTACTTCTTTTTGCTTTATTAATAGGATCATGCCTGATTTTATTCGATTTTTAGTCTCAAATGATGACAGACCACTTTTTCCTTGGGCGTCCTATTGTTTCTGTGAGTTTTCCTTCGAACCTTAACATTGCTATGTTGTCTTTATATATACTAAGAGAATAATCAAACCAAAGAAGAGTAAAATTAAATTAACACGTTCCCTGTCACGTTTATCCCATGGGACCAACACTGGTGTTGCATTAACGCGCCACGTTGGTCGCATGAGATCAACAACTTTATAAATGCTTGTTAGGCTGCTGGTTCATAAAAGTGTCTAATATCTCAGACTATTATACTATAGAGTATAATAGACCAGAATTTCTGTGTCTGATTGACATAAAAAAAGCATTTGACAGAGTAAGGCTCAAAGATGTAATACATCTTCTGTATAATAAAGAAGTTCCCCTAAATATTATAAAAACCATCGAAAACATCTATAGTGTATTTTTATGTATGAGAGAGTAATAAAACAATAAATTATGTATGCAAATCCCTAAACTGTTGATACGGGTGACTCAATGAAAAACAGATATTTGTCAACAAGTTTACAGAAGTATATAGGAAGACAATTTTAAATTGAGTATGACCACCAGGTATAAAGGTTGGAGCAGAATAGAATACAATAGTTGTGAGGGTTAATAATCCCTAAATAAGGTTGCCAGTGTCGGAGTGATGGAGGTTAACAGGTACTAATGAATTTGCAAGAAATGTAAGATGTTTATTTTATTGGTTATATATAACCAATAAAAGTTTAATAAGTACCTACCTATTTGCAAAATAAAGTTTAATTTTTTAGACAAAATAAAACGTTTTATTTTATCTGAAATGAGTGCATTCCACGAAGTAAGGGTTTCAACAATCAAACATTTAATTCTTTAATTCCAGGAATCTACGACAGTAATTGACTAGATAATTATCTTCTAAACTTATTCCACAGAAAATGTGATAGTGGGTTTTTCCATTTTGTAGGAGATCCAATAATTAAAGAAGATTTAAAACAACATATCAATGATAACTTACGAATGCTTTCTACAAAGACAGAGAACACGCATGTAGAAGACAAGTGGCAAGATTTAAAAGACGCCATAATAAAACCTGCCCAGAAAATGCTTACCAAAGAGAAACAGAAAAAAGAACGAGAATGGATAACAGAAAAAATTTTAGGTCTCATGGAAGAGCGAAGACAGTTAAAGGGAAAATGCAGCCAAAAATATAATGAAGTAAACAAACAAACCAGAAAAGAAATAAGAACTGCAAAGGAAAATTTTTATACAAGAAAATGCGAGGAAATCGAAGAACTACATCTCAAACATGACACTTTTAACTTACATAAAAAGATAAAGGAACTGACAGGTACACAAAAACGAAAACATCCCAATCTCCTATGTAACGCAAATGGTGAAATAATAGCCGATCTACAAGAAAAGCTTAGGACCTGGAAGAACTATGTAGAAGAATTGTTCGACGATGAAAGACAAGAACCTAATATAGATAACTTGCAAGGCGACGAAGGACCAGAAATGACTAAAGAAGAACTATTATACGCTATAAAAATAATGAAAAATGGTAAATCACCGGGTCCAGACGGGCTCACATCAGAACTTCTTAAGCTTGTGGAAGGCGAATCAGTGAATATTCTACTCGACCTTTTTAACTGCATCTACAAAAGAGGAGAAATACCAAAGGAATGGCTACTTTCAACTTTTGTAACCTTACCAAAAAAGGCAAATGCAAAACAGTGCACTGACTACCGCACTATAAGCTTAATGGGGCATACATTAAAAGTATTCATCAAAGTAATCCACTCAAGAATTAACAGAAAACTGGATGCAGATATTAGTAATACTCAATTCGGATTTCGGAACGGGCTTGGAACATGAGAAGCACTATTTGCACTTAACGTCATATGCCAAAGATGTCTAGATATAAACCAATATATATATGTGCTTTATTGATTACAACAAAGCGTTTGATAAAGTTCGTCACGATCACTAAATGAAACTGCTAGTAGAAAAAAACTTGGATAAAAGGGACATTAGAATTATCTCTAAGATTTACTATAACCAGAAAGCAAATATCCGAATAGAGCAAGAGACAACGGAGGAAATCGAGATCAAGAAAGGCGTAAGACAGGGTTGTATACTATCACCGACTTTATTCAATCTATACTCCGAAGACATTATAAACACAGCACTTTCGGATCAAAATATAGGTATTAAGATAAATGGCATTCGAATAAACAACTTGAGATATGCCGATGACACGGTACTAATCGCAGAAACTTGGGAAGATCTTCAAATACTAATTAACAAAATAGTAGAATGCAGTGAAGAACACGGATTATCACTTAACATAAGCAAAACAAAAATAATGCTAATATCTAAATCACCACAAAACTTCCCTGACATAACCGTGCATGATCAAAGAATCAAACGTGTAAGAAGATATAACTACCTGGGAACTGTTATCAACGAAAATAATGATTGCTCTGAAGAAATCAGAACCAGAATAGAGAAAGCCACATTTATATACCACTTTTAATGATGATTAACACATGATTTTAACACATGATGTTAAACAATTGTTTTTGGAGGCCGTAAATAATGTAAAACCTGAAAACTGGGAAAAGGCAGTAAATCACACTATTAAAGAAGAGGAAAAAATGTGGAAGCTAGACAATATTACTGATAAAATGATCGAGCCAGTTATTATAAATCTTGGTTCTGAAAGTTCATCTTCTGAATCTGATTTGGATTTGTAACAAGTAGCTGTAAGTTTTATATTAATATTTTTATTCATCTATTTAACATACCTTAGACGGTTTTAAAAACTCTTTTTCTCTGTTGTAATTTTTAAAAATTAAAAAAATGTGAATTTTTAAAACCCTTTTTAATGTAGGCCAGTCAGTTCTAATGTAGTGTGTGATAAAAGAGGTCACTTTTGTTTACATACACATAACACTTTATAACACTGAAATAATTCATTTATTTTTTACAATTATTCAAAGTAATTTTTCAATTAATCTTGAGCACGCCCATGGAGTGGTCGAAGGTACCAATTACTCTCTCGTTCATAAAAATAAACTATACCAAAATAACAAAGTGGAAGTCAGAATAGATGGACAACTTACAGAACTCATAGAACCAGGCAACGGAATAAGACAAGGGGATTTATTGAGCCCCGTGCTCTTCAATTTAATCATGGATAAAATCATTAAACGCGTTAACAAAGGAAGGGGACATAGAATGGAAAACAAAGAAATAAAACTACTCTGTTACGCAGATGACGTAATATTGATAGCCCAAGATAAAGATAGTCTGTAAATGCTGGTCCACAGATTTAACATAAGAGCAAAATAATTTAATATCAGAATTACATCTCAGAAAAATAAAACAATATTAGTCAGCAAGGAACAAACCAGATGTAAAATAGAAATTGATGGCACCAGTATTGAACAAGTAATGAAAATAAAATACCTGGGAATTGCACTGTCTAGCTATGGAGACCTGGACAAAGAAGTGAGAGATCAAGTAAAAAAAGCAAATAGACTGAAAAAATGCCTTAATAACACTATATGGCGAAACAAATACATTAACACTGAGATGAAGTCAAGAATTTATTAAATCCAGTGTAAGACCAATAATGGCATATGCCTCCACAACGCAAAGGCAAAACAAGCCTTTGGAACCGGAAATGGAACGAGGAAATAAGTAGAGATAGGACAAGATAAGATATATGAGAAAATATACAGAAATAAATAAAAAGATAGATAGATAAAATTACCAAAGATAAGATAAGATAGAAACATGGCGCCACTCAATTTTTTGGGGTTTAAGGAGAAAATGAAGAAACCTATGAAAAGAAAAGAGATAAGGAAAGATATTTAAGAATTAACACCAGGAATTGGAGGAAAATCCTTCCAAGACGAAGACCCAGTATCCACCTAAGCGACTCCATAGACGAAGAAGAGCAGATCCAACTAAATACCAATAAACAGACAGTCTAAAAGTTGCTGCCACGCATCAACTTTCATCTAAAAGGGGGAGCTCTTATATGTATTGTACCAACGAATGTTCCTTATTACGACGATTCCCAGGGTATCAAGTTTCCACTTCCAACAACCTGAGCCGATAAGGATTCTTGCACATGCAGTACCAGCAGAGTCAGCGGGACCCAAGCTTTTTGCACATTTCCACTGAGACAGCAATTACGAATATTATAAAACCATTTCTCGCTCTTTATTTGTATTCATTATATTTTAAGGATTCATTATATTTTTATAGGTCATTATATTTAAGTTTTAAATTCAGTATTTTTAACATGTAACCTTGCTAATTATATTTTTGAAATAAATTAATTTTTTAAAAAGTCAAAAAAGTGTTTAGTGATATAAAATACATATCATATGAGTATGACACACGTACATAAAAATTATGTGTGAATCTCACCAAAACAATATGTGTCGACTTTTTTGGTTTTTTACGGCATATTTTCCTCTGTTTTTCAAAATTTTTTTTTGTAGCAGTTCTTGCACATTTTTCTTCTGCTATGGTTAGTACCTTTTTTCTTCACTTTAATGACGTGGTTTTTACAAGCTGAGGTCTGAGTGGTACAGTCTACAGTTTCCTCTGTTTTTATTAGGTGCTTGAGACTACGTCTTTTTTAAAATCTGT